TGAAAGGTACTTTTGTGAAAGGAAGCATGTTGACCCTTTACCTGGAAGTCCCTGTTTAAGCACAGATACTTTAATACCAAATTATACTTAAAGTAGTTTTTTCAAGAGTCTGTGTAGAATAACACACCTGACCTCTGAATGCCTTCCTGCTTTGGGAGTATTTACTTCAAAGTCTCTGAACTTGCCAAAGAGTGAAAACGGGGACATTTTGAGTGTGTCGCTCTCCAGAGTGAAATTGGAGACAGCACTCTCCACATGCATATGTGTCATTTCCTGTTTGGAGCAAATAGGACGCTTGTGTTTACTGATGAGTCTCTGCTGATGAGTCTTTTCCCATCGTTTTTTCTGCCATGCGTGACTCTGTGGGAGAGACGCCATCTGTGTGAGAAACGGCTATTTTTGTCCCGCGCCCGTTTAAAGCCTGCCGAGTTTTCTGTCCTTTCGTTAAATTTTCAGAACTCCTGCTGCACGGGATTAACCCTTTAATGACAAATCTGGCCAGAGGACAGGTCAAGAATTAACTGGGGCGAAATGATTCCTGTCATTTTTACATAATGCACTGAATAGCTGCAGAGTGATAGAGTGAAGGGGGTATGGGTTTGGTTCATTATGTTATATTAATCTGGGCTACATGGAGGTAAAAAGCCTCAGAAGTGTTTAATTTTATGACATATGGAAGGGAAATCTAAGAGCCCGTAACAATCTAATCTACATCCATAGTGGGCGCTAAGCTGTTAAGCTTTACACCCAAACGGAGGAGGGGTGATTCACTGAGTCTTGCACGGAGAGGGACGAGCTGTGGCATCAGGGTTTGAGTTTACTACGCTTTCGTTATGTTGTGTAATTTTGCAGGTTTTCTGCATTCGATGTGACGTAAGGTTGCAACGAGAGGCTGAAGACTTGCAGTTTTTGTATCCCTGTGTGTTTGGATTAGCTTTCTTGCTGTGTGAACGGTCACCTCTTTGTATGTCATCCAGCTGAGGCTCTGAGTCACACGGGCATCGCAGCCGTGCAGCTTCGTTTCATCTCTCTCTCTCTTCTGCATTTAGACACACATGCATTTACTCTATGGGATGCCACACACACACACACACACACTCGGATACACTCTGCCTGACAGACTTGGGAGCATCAAGGCCTTATCTAGGTCACAGCATAAGCCCAGAGGTATCCTGTTCTCCCCACACACAGACGTATGAACGTACGTTTTTAAATTTGCAGGCAGAGTGACGTGTCTGGAACATTGAATCTATTTTGACTCATTCCTCCTCGGTTAACAGGGAAAGGATTTTTTATTTGGATTTCATATTTGTGCACCCCCTTCTCCTCCCTCCCACATTAACCTCGTTTTGTGACTCAGTCTAGCGGCTCTCGTGATTGTCACAAGGCCATCATTTCTTTGATTAAGCACTCTTCCGTCTGCAGATTCCGGAATCAGAGATGCTTTGCCACCGAAGCCTGAACGAAATGTGTAATCTGCTCGAAATAAAGGCAAATTTCTCTTTGCTTGCTGCTGCAGAGGCACCATAGGATGCCTTTGATTTGACTTAGCCTGACAGTGCATCATCCAAGATGCAACCGGGTGTCACAGCACAGAAATAGAGCTTATTTCTCTGCTTCAGTCTTCTATAAATATTCCAAAGCTCTCTTTTCTCCTCCCCCCTCCCTCTTTCCACTGTCTGTCCATTTTTATTCTGCCTCCCACATCTTCCCTTTCCCCTCTCTTCTATAACGTGCAGTACTCACTCACTCATCCCTCCTCTCATTTCATTCCTGCAGAGCTGTCCTTCCACAGATTTCCTTCAGCCTCATGGTTAATCTCATCTAAGCAAGTGTTTGCTTCAAATATAGGAACGTTTACAAAGACGGGAAAAAAAGAGGCCAGGCTCTGATTTTTATCTTTAAACAGTTAGCGCAGGGTGCCGTCCTCCCTTAACCTATCAGTGGGAGAAGTAAGAGTGCCACCTATGAAGTCAGCAGTCCCCCAACCCCCATCCTGAACACATGTTCAACATCCTCTGGGCACAGGCTGAGCGGAGCGCTGAGACACAGCTGAGAATTAGAGAGGAAGAGCGGGAGAGAGAGAGGAAGAGGGCGCAGTGAAGTGGAAATATGGGTGAGCATTAGAGAAAGACAGAAATAGAGCGATAAAGCAGTGAATTAGGCAGAGGCAGAGAGAGGAGGAGGAGGAGGAGGAAGAGGAGGAGGCAGTCTTTCACTGATGCTTGATGCAGTTAGATTCTCATACAGCAGCAGAGAGCCGTCGTCGAGCGTGGATGAGAGAACCTCATGGATTTGCTCCCGTCTGAGTCTCGGTGGAATTCATTGCATCCGAAGCAGCTGCAGACAGAGGAGGAGGAGGAGGAGGATGCTGCGACTGCGGCTGGATGTTAGGATCCATGTGGGCCTGTGATGTCTGCGTCCTTCCTCAGGATGACTCTGACCCAGATCGTGGAGTCGCGGCACTGCTCCTCCTCGGGTGGTCTGCCGATGTGAGGCGGACGAGGGATGCTCTGGACCTCGGCGGTTGCCGCTCAGCCCGCTGCCTCTGCTGACATCTGTCTCCGTGGATACGCACAGCAACTGGAAGGGTGAGGATGCACAGCACTGACCTGCGCGCTGAAATGTCATGCTCATTGGTTTTCTGTGTGTGAGTGTGTGTTTAAATACCAGGCTTCCTGGAGATTCTTAAAAATTAACAAGGCTTTGAATTCATTAATCTGAAAATGAGGCCTTATAGGTTTCAGGATGTCTCACACCAGGCTCTAAAGTCCTAAAATTAAAAAGATGTTAATCTTATATTCCAATTTAAAAATCTCTAAAATACGCATGTTTTAAATAATGAGAACATTGAATCAGGATATTTGATCAGAAATAAATACACTGTAGAAGAGTGGAGAACATTTGATATGATTTCCAGGCCCCTGAGCCTCCATATGGGTGTATTACTCAAAAAGAAGCTGCATAAGTGTTTAAAGCTCAAGAATATGAAAAAAAGGTTGCTAAGACTTTATATCCAAAACATCTTTGTACTGTGTTGAAGAGATACCTACTGAAGGTGAACTAGGGTCAGGCTGTA